GGGGATGGGGGAGTGGCCCTAGCCCCCAAGTCATAGGTGCGAGGGTGGGGGGAGCTAGCTTAGCCCTGGGACTCTCTCCCCACCCACCCCCCGGCAGGCCAACAGTGCTGATCCCTTCCCCCCTGCTCCCTGCAGGCCGCCAAAACAGAGAGGATGAGGTGGCAAGGCCAGCGGTGGCCATGCCCTCCTCAGTGCTGCAGGTGGCAGTGACAGTGGGGTTTGTTGGACCAGTAGATGGAGGGCAGGGCAGCCTGGCCCCTGCCCTGGATCGGAAGCAGCAGGGGGTAGAGGGGGAGTGGGCCCGGCCTTGAAGGTAGGGTTGGGGAATGTGGCCAGACGCAGGTCGCTGTCCCTGGCTGCGCACCCCCATCATTTTTTACAGGCAGTTGGCTAGTCTCTATCTCTCTACCTATCTCTCTATCTATTAGGGCTGTGTGAAGTTTCAGTCCCTGATTCAGTTCGGTGGAGATTTGGCCCAATTTGGTAGCTGAATCTCCAAATTGAATTGGGAGACCCCTTAATCTGAGCCCTGAATCGAATCGGAACCCTCTGAATCAATTTGGAGAAATTTAGAAAGATTCCGTGATTTGGATATAGACACAGCTTTAAATGTTTTTTCTATATACCTCAAGGTACCAGGCAGCTTGTGAATGCTGTGATGGTGGGGTGGATGGAGAGTCCCACAGAAGTGTGGGGGGCTCCTAGACCCAGAAGTGGACCAGAAGCACTTCTGGTCCACTTCTGTGTCCTCCGGGGAGTGTGCGGGGTAGCCCCCGTGCAACTCCCTGGTTCGGCTGGGTCTGGGGGGCACCCAGGGTCCCCCCTGCAGCCAATTGCCAAGCTGGGGGGGGCACGGGGGAGGCCCCTGTGCTCTTGGCAGCAGACCCAGAAGTGGACCGGAAGTACTTCCAGTTCACTTCTGGGTTTGCTGCTGAGCACACGGGGGCAGGGCCCCCGCACTCCTGTGGGACACTTCATCCACCCCAGCATCACAGCAAACACGAGCTGTGCCTGGTACCTTGAGGTATGTAGAAAAAACATTTAAAGCTGTGTCTATGGCCAAATCGCTGATTCTCTGAATCAGCATCAAATCGAATCGGGGACAGTGATCTGAATCAACGAATCTAATCACTGTCCCCTATTTGGGCTGAATCCGAATCGAATATGGCCCATTTCGCACACCCCTACTATCTCTATCTCTGTAGATAGAAACATATATATAGCTAGATAGATCATGCCACTCAGAAAAAGGAGTTCTATTAATGAGTTTGTGGAAGACTGTAACATTACCACTATCCAAGTTAGTGTGTTAGAAATTATGCTGAACCTGGATTAGTAACAAGTCAAAAAGCAACTGGGGGAGAGTTGTTTTCGTTATCCAGAGAGGAACATCGGATGGAGGGAGCAGCCAGTGAGAAATGATCAATTAAATTAAAGCTGCAGTTAATTGGAAAGAAAGCTTATGTCCTTAAGATTCCATCCAGGAAGAGCACACACCAACTGCTGAAACTTCCTTAGCCTGACGAAGGGTTTTTGAACCCGAAAGCTTGCTTAATAACTGTTTTCCAACTATTTGGGTTGGTCTAATAAAAGATATCAAGGAACCTTGTCTGCCTATGTCCTTAAGAAGTTTTCCTGGAGAAACTTTGTAAGGATGTCTAGTGTCAGGGTCACCAGAGCTACTCAGCCTCCTAAAATGAATTCCGTGTTCAGTATGTGGGGAAGGTAGCTCAGTGTATGTATACTTTGTGCATGTACTCTGTCTAGAGAAGCAGATTTGATTAGTTTTATTGACCATGCATTTCTTGTTATAAAAACTTTTGAGAGATTTTTCTTGTTTCTGTGTTACCATGATCAAAGCTATCCTACAGTTGAATGCCTTTTAGTTTTCTAGGGAGTGGTATTTTTTGGAACTGGACCTCTTAATTTACATAAAAGAGCTTGAGAGACAGTCAAGATAACTAATGCTCCCCTGGTTAGAAAGACAAGTTACAGTCCTTTGTAAATGGCATAGATGATCCTTAGGATTTTTTTTAATCTGATTTTGTTGCACTGAAGAAGATTTTAGATGTAAAACAGATAGCTGAAGGTTATCTTTATTCCTTTTTTTGATACTAGCACTTAAAATGCCTCTCAAATGTTAGAGAGGATGCCAACATGTCTTTAGTGACTAAATATTAAATAGAATTTTGTTAACGGGCTATAAAATAGTAATGAATTTTCAGTAAATTTGACACCAATATATATTTTTTTCATCTAAACTCTTTAGAATGTGTTTAGTTATTGTCAAAATGTTTTAAACACAAATGTATCTGTACTTATAGTTACAAAGTATATTCATCAGTTTACAATTCTCTGTTACACACTGAAGGATCCAAGGAGGATACCATTGTATTTCTTTGTAAAGAGTATTTCTTTGTTGTTTTTAATAAATAAAAAGTTGATATCAAGAGCTAATTCTTTGCATATACTTACTTTTGTTTATTTATTCTCTTACGAGAAGTCATTTGATCCTTCCCCCTGTTGTTTTTTTCGCTTCGCTTTGCTCTTTAAGAAACACAATTCAGTTTATAAATAAACCAGAAACAACTGTAGGAGTTAAAGGAAATGTTTGTGTCTCCACAGAAAATCATTATTCAGTAGATTAATATCTATGTGGGTATCAGCTATAAAATTACACACCCCTTGTCTGAGGGAAGGTAAAAAAAAATCACCTTAGTGTGTTGGCACCACCAAGCGAAAACCTTTCTTTCCATGTATTATATGTACCATGCTGTGGATACTTAGTTCATAATGGAATGAGAGATTCCTTCAGGATTTAACAGCACATAGTTTTACATAATAAAAGCACAATGTTAACTTCTCTGAGACTAATGTTTTTTTCAAAGCATGACATTTCACAGCCAAGAGAAGCTGTGGTGTGGGTAGAATTCTAATAAGTTTATACACTTATACTTTAGCAATCACAAATCCTTGGATTAGATAGTATCTCATTCCTGTTAGAAGATCACTTCAGTAGAAAAGTTTGTAACAGTGGTGCCATAGTAGTAACTACTCTTATTCAGTTTGTGAACTGAAGATAAAAATGTTGGTAGATTATTTGGATAACTTCTTGTTTTTCTATTTAGATTTCATACCATCTTGAAATGAGTTATTTTGAGGTCTACAATGAGAAAATTCATGATTTGCTTGTCTTTAAAGCTGAAAATGGACAGAAAAAACAACCGGTAAGTTATTTCTCAATAATATACATAATGATTATATCTGTTAATATTTAGCTTGTGGTTGAACTCATGTTCTAAATATAAGAACATAGTAAACTTTCTCTTAAGCAAATGTAAATGCATCTGCATATTATCTATGAGGTAGGCTCATGTGTTTCTTGTTTGTTAATATTTTACCTTTTTATCAAAGTTCCTACAAAATTAGTTGCAAGTAAAGATGATAGATACTGCTGTGAAGAATCTCTTAGTTCTATGTGTAGTGTCTAGACTCGGTGTCTAGATGGAAATACTAGGCTATATTTTTTTTCCTCTGCTATTGCATGGCTAAAAATAACAAAATGAACAAATAGGCACTGGTTTTGGGGGGTCTGTGCACTTGTATGCTATTACTAATCTGTTTACTTTAATGCTACTGTTATTCATGCTATTGCATAGAAAGAAGACAAAAATAGAACCAAGGTTGATTTTTAATGGCAGGCAGACAGACAGAAATGGATGGGATCTGTACCAAGGGCTCTGATCTCATTTTTTTTTTTTTTTTTTTTTTTTTTTACTAAGAGTGATTCCTTTACCCAGCAATTCTCCTTAAAGCAGAGTTGTCTAACTTGTGCCTGGCCATTGCCCCCTATCGCTCCTAGTATTGTGGCAGACGGTCTCTGGGCTCCTTTCCCCAGCTTCCGCTTCCTGTTCCCACTGCCTCCCTCTTCCTGGGCCCAGAGAGTCTGTAGCCTGCGGGGGATATAAGGCGGGAGGACAGATGATCATACTGCCTGTGGGGCTGTTGGGGGAAGCCCACCTGGTGTGCAGCCCAGGAGTCCACGTAGGGTATGACTGTGGCCTCACAGGAGTTGGATAGCTTTGCCTTAAAGGGCTGATCTCTTTGGATATCTCTTGGAATCAAACTACTTGAAGATGATAACTAGATTTATAGCTGAAATAAATACTTCCCCACAACTGTAATTTTAATGGTTTTCTTTGTAATATATTCTCATCTCTCATTCTATGAATTTTGGGGTTCCCATCTCTCTCCTCTTTTTTTTTTATGTCCTTTGCCACTTTTATGTTGTGGGGTTTTTCAGGAAAACCTTTACATTTACTGGGGAGGAGCAGAGACTTAAGTCTGGCTGCTGCCTTGTTCAAGGGTGTGATGTTAGATCTGGCTAACACCTACTAAAACCATACTCTTAACAACACCAGCTAAGTTGTGCTAAGGAACAACTTGTCTTAGAATCCAAGGTGGTCTTTGACTGGGTCAGGTAATATTATTTAACCTCACACCTTAAAATTCTAGCATAGACAAACTAAGACTTGTTTTCACTGAAGGAAGGTGTTTGTTTGATCAAGCGGCGTCTTGAAGACAAGGCACAGGCAGCTTTCATCTCACTGTAGCTATTCAAGGTTAAGCCCAGATGTGGGGGTGAGAACTGACTCAAGTTACAGTCTCCCAAACTTGGTTTTTACTTTAATTCATAGGGCCAGATCGAGACATGCAGGCACATGCAATTTGTAGTGCTGCAAATCTTTTTGAGGTACCAAAAACTGCACGTGTTGCACATTGAACCATGTGAATGATGCTAATTTGCAGTGCTGGGTCAAAATTTGATACTGGAATTTCCTGGTAGCAAAAAAAAACAAAACAAAAAACCAACCAAAAAAAAACACCCTAGAGAAAAAAAAGTGGTGCAAAACACGCCAAAGTGGCATGCTCCAGGATAAACAAAGATAGGGGAGCAGGAAGCCCAGGGCACCTGTTCCCCTGTCTCTGTGTTTTGGAGCCCCCAGCACTGAGGTACCCTATTCTCCAGCCAGCCACTCCCTGCAGCAGAGTTCCCACGCAGAGACGGGAACAGCCAGCCCAGGTTTGCTTGCTCCCCTGTCTCAAGGCATACTGTGCCCCAGCCAGCTGGTGAGTGGATGGCTGGGATTCAGGGTGCCTCAGCTGGGGGGGGTGGTCTGCAGTGTGTGAGACAGTGGGGGGTCTCTCCCCAGCTGGCTGTGGCACAGGGTGCCTCAATGTGGGGTCTGCCTGTTGGCTATCACTACTGAGGCACCCTGTGCCCCAGCCAGTCCCCTTAGCAACACATGGAGCAGTGGGACAATATGTTCTACTGCAAAGCCTAGGGGCAGGGGCATGCACTGCGACACAAAGTAGCAGCACAAATTTGTGCTGCTGCAAACACACACCCCTGCTCATGTGGATGTGGCTGGGGTGTGCAACACATGGCCCAAGGGCTACATCTGACTTGTAGAGCCATTTCTTAGAGCGGGCTCCGGGCGGACCTGAGAATTTGGAGATGGGATCAGCTACAAGCCCAGTTTGGGGCTGAGTTTGACAACTCTGCTTTAATGAGTTACATCAAGAAAACTCTGAAATGCCTTTGCTTCCACCAGGGCAGTGGTTTTCAACCTTTTTATACTTGAGGTGTATCCCTTTTTAGATTAAGGTACCCCCAGTTAGACTCAAGGTATCACTCAGAAAATGCCAGCTCCTTTCTTTTGCTTGTTTCTTTGTGCGTGGAAAAATAATACATCAATTCTTCTGTTGTAAAGAACTCAGAAAAGCCATAACAGCGCAGAATATTTTGACACTATGGATTCCTATTTGAATTCTCTGGGTTTATCTTATGAAACGTGTAGTTCTGTGCACACCTAGCAGTGCTAATATTACACAGCACCCTGCAGCACAGTTAAAAGAAGCTTGTTGTGCTTAAGGGTGGTACTCTGGTGGGAAATCACCGCATGAAGGCAGGGATCATGAATGCTGTGTGCCCCCGTAGGCTGGGGGAGGCACAGTGACTGCCCGCAGGCAGTGGTGGTGGTGGGGCGGGGGGTGGCCACGGTGGTGTTGGCAGCGGTGGAGAAAGGGGGTGGCGAACGCCAACTGGCGGTCGGCAACTACCCACAGATGCCCTTGGCAGTGTCCAGCAGCGACTGGGGACTGCCCACAGATGCCGTTGGTGGTGTGGGGGTGGTGAGCAGTGACCACCTGCAGGAACCACCGGCAGCATCGGCAACACTTTTCGGAGGGCATGCACCTCCAAGCTTAGGAGGTCACCAGTACATCAGCTTTTGCCAGTGTGGGCCAGGACTTGCGAGCTGGCTATAAGTTGCAAACTGGCTGTGCCTGCAGGCCAGTGGTCTCTGCTCCTCCACCCCCACCCACCTCAGAGTGGCCAGATTCTTGATCTCTCTGCAGCAAGAGAAGCACAGATGGAAGCAGGCTCCACAGCAGAGAAAAGGGCTGTGGGAGGGGATGGATTGTACACGGCAACTCCATGCCATTGATTTCCCTCATGTTGGATCAGACTTCTGTGGCAGGATTGGACCTCTTCACAGGCTTTATGGCCAGCCGGCTGTAGGTTGCCAATCCCTGCGCTAGGGATTACATTGAGCAATGTAAAAATTCAATTTTTTTCTGCAGGGAAGATCTAGCCAAGTTAAGGCTCCCTTGTTCAGGGGAAATAGAAATAGCAAAGGTGTTAAAGAAAATCACAGTTCCTGTAACTGCATCAGATGTAAGGTCCTTCAACCTAAAAATAACATGGAGGAGATATACCTTTGATTTATCAGAGGTACTGAGCAACTTCAGCTCCCATGGCAGTCAAAAAGATGGGAAAACTTTGGAAAATGTTCACCTCATGTTGAGCCCCAGCTCAAGTCTGGGATTGTGCCCGGTATGCAAAAGCCAATAAAGATACCAGGGGTGAAAGTATAAAGATTTATTGCTAGCAATACAAGGTGCAAGCGGAATAATTTCACGTAACAAGCACACAGATTCTTAATTCTAAGCATCTTTTATACAGGAGTATTGGACCTTCATAAGCATTCTTGTTTGCTAATTGGTTATAAGGGAGTGACGCAAGGAGTTCTTTACTGAGCATGTCTCTATACCTGTGTTTTAGCTATGTATCTCATTTACATACATGTATGTTTCATTGGCATACTTTCTCCCCACCTAGGGGTGTGATTTTTAATATTTAAATTAGCTCTTTGCCCTAGTCCTCTGATTCTGCTTTTGTTTTCAAGCCTCCTTTATCTAAGACTGTCTCCTCCTTATCATTGCAGATGGGCATTAGTTACATAACAGAGACTTTTGCTTGGGCTATGTGTAGTGGTTTCTAGGTCAAACCTGACATTTTCCCCCTCTGGAGCATTTTTAATTATTTTTATTATAATTGCTCCACTCAATTTGTTTCAACACAAACCTAGTATTCTCAGCTTTCTTCGTTTGTAAAATCATTTGATTCACCTTAGGTCTGAAGATAGATAAGACGACAGGTGAACATTGTATACATAGGATATTTGATTGGTCTTGTTACAAAGGATTCTTCTACCTTGGTTCAATTTGAAGCAATTATTAGTACAATTAACTATTAGGAAACATTCAGAAGCATTAGCTGTTGCCTGAACCCGTACGGAAAACATGTCTCTATTCTTCTCTTTTACAATAGTCCCCCACTTATATATATTCTGATATGTACTTTTCTTCTCTACATTCTTCAGCATAGTATAATTTTGTAAAATTTTTAAAGGGGTTGGTACTGCGATTAAGCATGAGGTAAAAACCAGGTGAGCATTGATCCCTCCCGCTAAGCAGAAGTCCGTTCTATTTAAAATTTCCCGGGCCAGATAAATCCAGACATTTTCCTGAGGGTCAAATTTTTGTTGTAAAAGGGTTTCCCCTCCTATAAGTAGGAGTGGACAGATCAGGGTGCCCCACAATAAAACCTTGAACAATTTCATAATAAGGCTTATAAAACTTAATCAAAGATTGTCAAATTATTCAAAGTTCCTTTCTTTTGAATAGGAATTTCAAGTCTCTTATTGGCTCCACCTTCCACTGTTCTCTGTCTCCGGTCCCGGAGTCTGCAGGGATTCCTTCTTGTTCTGGTCCAGCCACCGGCTTTAGGCGACTGGAATGTATCCAAGTCTTGATTCCTTCGAGCTTTGCGGCCGTCGGGGTCGTTAGAAGTACCCTATATGGGCCTTTCCATCTGGCTCGA